CCAGATTGCAGAACAAAGATCTGTAACTAAATCATTCTCAGATTGCTTATTAAGTCGTTAGCCTTTCAGCCTGCAGTGTGAATCAGCCACCCTTTTGAAAAGGAGGAATTACAGCAACTTATAGAAAGCAGTATCCGTCTGAGCACATCTTGTAATTAATGTTACAGTCATGGCAAACAGCAGACAGAACATTTTCTTATATTCTGGGTTGAGATCACTTACCTTTTCACACAGCAGGCTGTTATTTTTGGTGCCTGCAGAATAGCACTCACAGGTTTTACAAACATCGACAGCTGAAAGAGCTGCACCTGCTAGCCGGTAATGGAAATCCTTACACAGCTCACAGTTTCTTCCTGCATGAGGAAAAGGTTATGCATTATGGCTTCCAATTCATTAAAATTAGCTGTATAATTCAAAATTAAAGACTCTATTCCTTTGAGAGAATTCTATAATTTTCAGGACGTCCATTTTAATGCACCTTTCATCTCTACCTGCCAATTTAGTGATCCAGAGCATATGAAACAATGAACCTGTTACAAACTGTGTTTTACTCCATTAAACTTCCATCTGTTATATAATACCACACTTCTATAAAGACAGGCGCTGTGAATACCTATACATTATTTTGGACAACTTTCTGTTGAACCTCAAACTTTCACCTTATAAAAAGACAAGAACAATGACATAAATATGCAAATCCTCTGCATATGGAGTGAGCAGATTTATACTAATTCAGGAATCTGATACTTTACCCAAAATCTACAATGTTTGCTATATGTTATCTGGTTACCAAACTGATGGTCCTGGTAGAAACACTGCACATCCTGTACAATGAAAATCATTTTGCAAGCTTCATGGCTATGGATGTTGATGCAGGGAAGCTGGGATATAATTTAAATGGAAAACTCTATACAAAATTTTGACTGCATTGTAGTGACTGCATTTATCTAATCTTTTATCTTAGCTATTCCCGTAATTCTAACTACTGAAGTACACAGGGTCAGTAGTTTTCTTTAAAAACTTGAATTTTCTTTCCATCATGGTGAACCATTTGGGATTTTTATGACTTTCTCAAAAGTGACTCTACATTCAGTATTTTGATGTCACTCATTAAATTACCTGTTGTATTATGTTGACAGTTATCACATATTCCACCACCACCTCTATAGTGTTCATTAGGAAATGAATCCATGGTTATATCATAGTGGCAGCTTCGTGCATGGCCATAGCACTGACAAGCTTTACAATTATAAGCTTGAACTTGGTCACCTGGATGAAAAGGCTTGTCATGATACAATGGCAAACAGCGCTCACACTAAAATTAAAAAAAAAAGTTTATTGCTTTATATCTCTATGAGATAAATATTCACATAGCATTTTATGGACCTAAAGATACAAACAGGTTCCTGATGGGATTTGCAAAAATGCCCAGCTAAATCAATTAGGTGTTTGGGCTTTAAGATATAATAAATAGGTATAATGCCTGCTTCCATGGGTATGGGGATCTCCAGATCTCCAAAGCTAAATTTTCTATAAAATCTGTAAAATTAAAGCTTGGGAACAGATTTACAATGGCATTTAGACACTAAAGAGATGCATTTAGACACCATGCGCCCTCCCTACCCACCATAATGCATCTACACATCTAGCTATAATCTCACCCTATACATGTTTTATGAAGGGATTTTCAAGTCCAAAATATATTCCAAACTACTCAAAAGCATTCTGTTCACATTCAAAAAAAAAAAAAAAAAAAAAAAAAAAGTAAAAGATCATTAGTTTAAAAACTCTAAAATATATTTATAGGGATCCCTCAACTGGAAATATTTCTGTAAATTTCATATTTGTCTGAATTATTTGTCCATATTTCACCAATGATTCCTAATATCCACTTATGTTAAGAAATTTTGTTGCGGTTTCAAAGCTGATTAAACCAAAATCTCTCCATTTCTATAGATAGTTTATTTACTAAATTGAGTGTGAAATGTGATGTTGATGAAATATTAGTAAACCAACTGTAGTTGTTTGCATAAATGTCCTGTGGCAAAATGTTTTCTAATCTAAAAGGTTTTCTTTAAATGTACTTAGTATTTACAAAACCAAATGATTTTAAATGCATGTCTTCATGTGAAATTAAAAAGAACAAAATAGTTTAGAATCCAAAAAAACCCTAACACTTCTGTTCAAGTAATGCAATAGCTTGGTTTCAACACAATCTGTAAAGAATATAAAATGACAACAATCTCAAGTTTATAATAGACCCTGGAAAACTTCAAAGAAAAAGCTTTGTTATTGGCTCATCCAAAACAAAATGCATAGATTTCGTACAGATAACTAATGGATGGTATTTTGGACAATTACATTCTAATTATTCAGCCAATTATTTACATAATTGGCTCAAAGAGCTGTTAATGTTGACACTGAAGAGATATTTTGATGATTGGTTATGCCAAGTTTTTATATTAGAACTGGTATTTTGAAGGGCCCCATTCTCTAACTATTGATTCTCTGCTGGATCTGAGAAACAGTAGTAAAATATATTGTAATCATTGCTTCTATTTTTTCAGAAAGAAGCTAAATTATTGAAATAAATTGTTTTCTACAAATTATTCACTCAATTTCACTGTTCTCATTGTGCTAATCGATGTTTCTTAGTTACAGCATCATAATCAATGCAGGCCAGTACAAAAACTAAAAAGGAGCTAGTATTTAGAGACATTCATCAGATCTGAAATGCATCACGAGCATGAAGAGCAAGAAAATGGGACAAAGCTACATGGTATAAGAAAGCATCTACTGCCAAAGCAAAATGGACAACATTCAGACTTCAGCTTCATTCATTTCAATCATGTAATTATATACATAAACAAGAGTCTGAATTTGACACACAAAACAATTTTTTACTCTGTATTGGTAGAAACAAATATATTAAAAGAGGGAGTGTTGAATTTGAGAAGATTATTGCAGGAAACTTTATATTCATTGAGTTATGAATACAGTGAAGGTGGTTATTGTTCTTAATCTGTCTGGAAGAGTTCAGTTGTAGTAGTCAAAAACTCCTCTGGTTCTCTTTACTGTGGATATAATTCTTCCCATTTGTCAGCAGATTTTTTTTTGTGGGGAATGAAGTCATCATGTGTGTTTATTGTTGCAGTAGCAAAGGAATCTCTCCCATAGCCAGAGCCAATGCAACACAGGGATTTGAAAATCAGTGTGATGATTTTGAACAAGACTCTGCACAGGAAGCAGCAAATTTGGAGGATGTATTCCTGATAACCAGTGTTAGTAAGCACATGAATTGCTGCTGTCTGAAGCAGCTGCAGCTTCCTCAGCCCACTGAGTTTCATTCCTAGATACTGAAATTTTCAGTAGCTGACCGCAAGCTTATGACCATGTATTTGTCGTGGCCTCATCAGTATTTGATGGAATAGCACATTCCTCTGACTAGTCCCAGATGAAGTGAGTGTTCTTTGCACAATGGTTACTTGGGTCCCTTAGCACAGTGCAGCTTAAGACAACCCCCACTGCTACAGTTCACTCTAACAACATGAATATAGGTTATTTCAGTAGTAAGGGCCGAAACAGAGGCAAATTTTTCAAAGCACTCCTTTCTTTCTAATGTTTTCAGTCTTGTCAGGGTTCAGATTCAGTCACATGCTCCTCAGCCAGGCACTGATCCCAGCCAGGCTTAAGGAAAGTTTGGGGATAGTGCCATTAATGTTTGCTATGAAAGAGATGCAAAGCTGGGCATTGCCCACCTGGTGCTAGCACTGCAGCCTATTTTGTCTTAATAGCTTCCAAGACATTTTCATATTGGTATTGAACAGAATGGGAACTCAACTTCAACTTTATAAGTGAGGGCTTTTGACCATGACAATTCTGGGTTTGCTTAACAAGAAAAAAAATCGTACCATTTCAGACGTTTCCATTCACACCTGCAGTGTCTTGTTGACAGGACAAGAGTGTTTAGTTGTCAACAGTATTAAATGCTTGAGAGGTCCAGCAGAATTAAAATTAGTGTATGTCAACAAGCAGAAGGAGATAATGCACCAAGCAACAAACACTTTCTTTATCCTGTGCTCCTGATGCCTGATTGGAAGGGGTACATGATGTTGACATTTGACATTGGCTAGCAGTGACTTAGTTATTTAAGCCTTGGACTTCATTCAGCATCTTTTAGAGACAACTACAGGCAGTCCCCGGGTTACGTACAAGATAGGGACTGTAGGTTTGTTCTTAAGTTGAATTTGTATGTAAGTCGGAACTGGTACATATTGTAGGGGAAACTCTAGCCAAACATTTCTCCAGAGCTCAGTTTTATTCTCCCACACCTCACTTCCCTCAGGGTATTATTCTCAAACTGAGGTGTCTGCTGAGAAAAGCTGCTCCGCATCTCCCTGGTCTGCTGGGGG